CACATAGTAGGGCTACTAGTATTTACAGTAATAAGAATGAGAAGTTTACCCGACCGTTTTCAAGCGGGGAAAACCTTAAAATTTAAAGAACTTAAAAGTCATTAAAAGTCACCTCAGAAGTCGGGAAAGCTCATTTCCTGCCATCTAGTGATCAATTTTTTTCCCGTGGAGGGCCCCATACCCCCCTTCTTCTTTGGGGTTATCCATTCATGGAAAAAAATACGTAAGCAACTCAATTTTTTTTACATTTACGCTTACACACATAAATAGGCCTATATACTGTAATAAGAATGAGAAAGTTTACCTGACCGTTTTCAAGAGGGGGAAAAGCCTTGAATTTTGAAGAACTTACAAGTCATTAAAAGACACCTCAAGTCGGTAAAGCTCATTTTCTGCCATCTAGTGATAAAAATTTTCCCGGGGGATGACCATGGACCCCCTCCCCTTCCTCTTTGGGGTTATCCATTCATGGAAAAAAGAATACGTAAGCAACTCAATGTTTTTAAATGTACGTATACACACATATATAGGCTTATTTACTGTAATAACAATGAGAAAGTTTACCTGACCGTTTTCAAGAGGGGGAAAAACCTTGAGTTTTGAAGAACTTAAAAGTCATTAAAAGACACATCAAAAGTCGGAAAGCTCATTTCCTACTATCTAGTGATCAAAATTTTCCAGGGGGAGGACCCCGGGACCCCCTTCCTCTTTGGGGTTATCCATTCATGGAAAGAAAGAATACGTAAGCAACTTAACTTTTTTTTATGTACGTATACACACATAAGTAGGCCTATTTACTGTAATAAGAATGAGAAAGTTTACTTGACCGTTTTCAAAAGGGAGGAAACCTTGAATTTTTAAGAACTTAAAAGTCATTAAAAGACATCTCCGAAGTTTGGAAAGCTCATTTCCCGCCATCTAAGAATACAAATTTTCCCTTTTCCCACATTTTTTTGCGTTTTTATGAAAAAAAAAGCCTGACCCCACAAACGTGAACAAAGATCCGCCCTTGTACCCCAACACAAAGAGATGGATGACAAGAGACATTAAACAACTCCTAAAACTAAAACAGCGAGCAGTTCAACGCAATGAAAATGAAGTAAAGAGGCAAATACAAAACGATATAGAACAATTTATCAAGAAAAGCAAACGTAAATTTGGAGAAAGAATCAATGAGAAAATCTGGACTGGAGAAAGAAAGTTATTACCAGGTGTTAATCCAACTAAATTTGCAAACAATTTAAATGTATTCTTTAATCGTTTCGACAGAGTTGACTACGAAAATGAATTAAATACTATAAATATATCTTTAATAAATGAGGTAGATGAAAATGAAAATAAGTGTATTAGACGTCGAAAGAGTAATTAAATATATTAAACCAAACAAAGCGTTTGGCCCAGATATGATCTCTGGAAAGGTTTTAAAGTCATGTCATAAAGAACTATCATACAGTTTCTCTTTCTTGTTTGATTGGTCATTAGGTACCTACAATATTCCAAAACTGTGGAAATCTGCAAATATAAATCCATTAAGTAAGATATCTAAACCAAATTCATTAGACGACTATAGACCAATTACATTAACATCCATTGTTATGAAGAGTTTTGGAATAATAATTAAAGTTATGATAGTTGAAGAAACAAAAAAATGCTGTGATTCTTATCAGTTTGCATATAGTGCAAAAAAAAAGGAGTAGACGATGCAATAATCACATTTCTGCATGGAGTTTACGAACACTTTGATAAAGCCAATTGCCATGTTAGATCATTATTTTTGGATTTCAGTTCGGCGTTTAATAGAATACAAACACATGTTTTAGTATGAAAGCTCAGAAATATGCATCTAGATCCTCGTATATCACTGTGGAATAGTAACTATATGAGCTGTCTCTTATACACATCTAGATGTGTATAAGAGACAGATTTGGGGTTCATCGATTTATTGAAAAAAGAATATGTATGCAGCGACTCAATTTTTGTTATGTACTGTACATACACACACAGTAGGGTTACTAGTATTTACAG